CTGTATGGGTAAGAATGTTCAACCTTATCTCATTAATCCCTTTGTTATCTATATTTATTGGTGGGCTAGTATACTCGGTCTACTATATATTTAATGATCCTTTTCTTATATTGATTACATGTCGAAAGTGATATTTATTGTATCTGCTGTGTCGTGGTTAACTCACACCTGTAGATTCCCCGCAATTGGGAGGCCAGGCAGGTGGATCACCTGAGGTCAGCAGTTCGAAGACCAGCCTGGGCCAACATGGCGAAAACCGCGTCTCAAGTCAAAAATACAAAAAGTCGCCGGGGCGCGGTGGCCTCAAGCCTGTAATCCCACACTTTGGTAGGCCGAGGCAGGCAGATCAACGGAGGTCGGGAGATCGAGATCTATCCCTGGCTAACACGGTGAAACCCGTCTTTACTAAAAAATAAGAAATAACAACATAGCCAGGCGTGGTGGTGGGCACCTGGTTAGTACCAGCTACTCGGGAGGCTGAGTCAGGAGAATGGTGAGAACCCGGGAGGCTGTAGCGCCAGTGAGCTGAGACTCTGGCCACTGCACTCCAGCCTGGCGGCAACAGAGTGAGACTCATCCAAAAAAAAAAAAAAGAAAAAAACAAAGTCACGCCGGCCATGGTACACGTGGACCTGTAATCCCAGGTCTCTTGAGAGGCTAGGCAGCGAGAATCGCTTGAAGCTGGGCAGCGGAGGTTGCAGTGAGTCAAGAGGCATGCCACTGCCTTTCAACGACTGTTGTGCAAACAAGATGTCAGATTCGCTTCGTTGTCTCAAAAAAAAAATGTATCTGATGGAACTACATAAAATGTCTCATACTGATTTAGTTATTGTATTGTTTCTTTCTTTCTCTTTCTCTTTTTTTTTTTGTTTAAAGCCCTGTTGAACGGCTTCTATTTCCTTCGCTCTTCTCCTACCATACTTGAAGGTGGGAGAACATTTTCGTCATTGAGGAAGCTCAGTTTGAAAGTGCTGACTCAGGTCCTTGCTACTCGAAATGTGGTCCATGTGTAGGTGGCGTCCATGTCTCTGAGATCTGATTGGAAATATATTGGCAAGTGACACTGGTGGGAAAAAAAAAGGGTGTGGGGGAGTGCTGACTCTCAGCTCCATCCTAGCCCTGCTGAGTGAGAACCTGCCTTTCACAAGGTCCCCTGTGAGACGTACACACAGCAAAGAATGAGAAGCACTGGTCCAGACCATACACCCTGCATCTACTGGCACCAGCTGTTGAGGGAGAACTAGGAAGTCTGATGATCAAAAATGGCCACTTGGCCGGGCACATTGCCTCACGCCTGTAGTCCCAGCACTTTGGGAGGCCGAGGTGGGAGGATCACTTGAGGACCGGAGTTCGAGACCAGCCTGGCTAACATGGTGAAAAGACATAAAAATTAGCCAGGTGTGGTGGTGCACACCTGTAGTCCCACCTACTCGGGAGGCTAAAGCAGGAGGATTGCTTGAACCCGGGTGGCGGAGGTTGTGGTGAGCCGAGATCGTGCCACTGCACTATGGCCTGGATGACAGACCGAGACTCTGTCTCGAAAAAACAAACAAAAAGCTCACTGGCTGCCCCCTTTATGTTCTGTAGTCCTGCTCATATTAGATCTTTCTTCCTAATTTCTCAGCCCCCAACCCAGTGAGAAACCTGACAGTGGAGGCTCAGACCACCAGCTCCATCTCCCTGAGGTGGGAGGTCCTCGATGACCCACAGAACTCCACCTACTGGGTTGAGTGCACTGGAGACTGTGGTAGAACCGAGACACGAACCACAACAGACACCAACGTCACCGTGGATGGACTTGAACCCGGGTCATTGTATACGTTTTCTGTGTGGGTGGAGAAAAACGGAGTAAACAGCTCTGTGGAGACTGTCACTACTGCCACAGGTAAGAGGCAGCCACTGTTTTATTTTTATTTCTTTTGTAAGGACAGTGGTAGGCGGTGGGTTGAGAGCTGACAAAATGCGACAGGTTCTTTAGTCCAATTGAAACACAGTGGAAGCCACACATGAGAATTTCGATTTTCTATCAGCCACATAAAAATAAGTAAAAAGAAACTGGTCTGCCTGTCTCTCCGAAAAAGTTAAAAAATTAGCTGTGGTGGCGTGTTCCTGTGGTTCCATCTCCTCGGGAGGCTGAGGTGTGAGGATCTCTTGAGCCCGGGAGGCAGAGGTTGCAGTGAGCTCTGATTGGACCACTGCACTCCAGCGTGGGCAACAGAGAGAAATCCTGTCTGGGGAAAAAAAAAAGAAAAAAGAAGGAAGGAAGGAAGGAAGGAAGGAAGGAGGGAGGGAGGGAGGCAGGGAGGGAGGCAGGGAGGGAAGGAAGGAAGGAAGGAAGGAAGGAAGGAAGGAAGGAAGGAAGGAAGGAAGGAAGGAAGGAAGGAAGGAAGGGAGGGGAAACAAATAAACTAAATTACTATGAGACATTTTATGTAGTCCATCAGACACATTTTTTTTTCTTGAGACGGAGTCTCTGTCTCCCAGCCTGAAATGCAGTGGTGTGATCTTGACTCACTGCAACCTCCACCTCCTGGGTTCAAGCAATTCTCCTGCCTCAGCATCCCGAGTAGCTGGGATTACAGGCACGTGCCACCATGCCTGGCTAACTTTTGTATTTTTAGTAGAGACAGGGTTTTGCCATGTTGGCCAGGCTGGTCTCCAACTCCTGACCTCAGGTGATCCACCTGCCTTGGCCTCCCAAAGTGCGGGATTAGAGATGTGAGTCACCACGCCCAGCAGATACAAAATATTATCATTTTGACATGTTATCAATATAAAAAGGATCATTAAATATATATACCGAGTATATACCCACAAAAATAAAAAATATATAAAAAGAATCAATGAGATAGTTGACATTCTTAATTTCACACCAGATCTTCAAAAGCCGGTGTGGATCTCACACTAATGGCTCATCTCATTTCACAAAAGCCACATCACGAATGCTCAACACTCACATGGAACTCGTGGCTGCCACATTGGACGGTGCAGAGCTGGGCCTCCCTGCCTCCACCTGCTGGATCCAGTGGTTAAGGAAGGGCTGGAAAGTTCGAGG